ACTACGTAGCTTGCCCTGAAATTGCTACCCTGTTCAGGAAAGGATAGAAATAACGCCACGCTGCTCTAGAAGTCTATTTCTAGCCCTCTGGCATGCCGTGCATCATCTCACTTTCCGAGGTGCCTCTTCAGACGCAACCTGGTCAGTGTGGAGATTCCCGAGGGCTTCTGCTTCAGTTCTCAGGGCTTGGGAGAGCGGATTGCAGCCCAGCCCAGCAGGCAGGATGCAGCCCCCGAGCACAGGAGCGGGGCAGGTACCCTGAGCCAGTCCAGTGCAGCCACTGCCCAATATCTGTATTGATTCACCGCGCAGGCTGCGCTCAGCAGCCCTCGGAATGGCTCCTAACGCACCCCGTGGCCTCTGCTAGGGCATGCGAGTGTCATAGACGGGAGTGAAATTCGTGCCTTTCGCTTTTGTTTTCTTGCTTTGAAAACTGTGCATTTCTGTTGACTTCCTGCAGTTTGTGTGTTACATCATCTTTGTATCTGGCATGTGAAGGAAGGAAATGTAGAAGATAATTGAAGAGACTATTTTTTTCTGAAGGTGAAACAGGGAAGGATGCACAGAACATGCTTTCAAAGGGATGCCTCTATGCCCAGTGTTTCAATAGATGCATGCCCAAATACTTAAAGTTGTGAATGCAGACCTAAGGCTCAAGGCAAACACAATGAACTCATCACAGCTAGAGCACATATTTATCTCTGCTCCTATGCTCTTAGATACTGCTTTACTGAACTCCATATGGAAGCAGGGGTTCTGGGAATGGGGACAAGGTGAAATTCAATCACACACAGGCCAGCTGTTGCTGACATTCATCATTTTAAGGAAAGTGCAACAGTTTGGAAATATATAAACAAGATGTTCTGGAAGCATAATTTCCTGAGGTACAAAAATTTAGCAGCTAAATACCCATGACCTGTGCAGAGATGAGACACAGAGGGGATTTTTACTCACATCATTTAGAAGAAGAGAAAGAACTGCATTTCTTATAAGCAATGATGCTGAACAAAAAATCATACAAGGTGACAAGAGGCCTGTTCATATTAAATTCAGGCTCTAATGAGGCCCTTCTGTTTGACTGAGAAGTCATTTAAGACAACTACTCTTTTACTAGCAACTTTAACATCTTTTTTTCTAAAAAGTGGAATTAAATTATCTTATTCACCTAGGAGGATAAGTCAAAGTTAAGACTATATGAGGCACAAACATATTTAAAACTATGAATCAGATATTCATTATAATTAAACGAGAACTGCTATTCCCATCATACTTGAAGCAAAACACCAGAAAAAGCCCAGAATACATCATAGACAGTTTTATTCCAAATTTCTAGCCTTAATGACCAGAATAGGTCTTCAGTGATGCAGAGAATTTATTTTTAATACAATTAACATTTCTTCAAACCCAGATGCCAGAGCATGAGCAAAGGCAAGCGGAGGGGTGTGGGCTAATTCTCCTCATTGAGGGCTGCTTCCTTTTGGGCAGGCTGCCCTTTCCCTTCTGCCGCCACTGCTGTTCCCGTCCTGGTGGTGGATGACTGCATCTCACCCTCTCCATGACTGCTTCTGTCATCTTCATAACAGGCATTAGTCCAGAGCACAGCTAAATCTAAGTGCAAATCATCAGGGGTTGATAAAATCTAGCAAAGGAGAGGGAGAAAAAGTGAACCCAAGACCAGTGGGAGGAGGCCATGGAAACTCTCAGACAGAAAGAGCTACAAGTAGAGAGCTTCTCCATTTATGTCCAAGCAGGTTTAAAACAGATTTAAATCACGCATTATCTTAGTGAAACCATAAATACTCTCATACGGCATTTCTCTCCTTACACTTCACTGGAGCAGATAAAAAGCTAGGTTCCCTCTGTGTTTTTTTGGTTTTAAGTTCTTTTTTTTTGATTGGTAGGTTGGTTGGCTTTTTTTTAACTCTCCTGTGGGTAACAGTCCTCAGCTGCTGTGGGATGCCTGGGGAGAAGAGGCTCTCCACAGACAAAAGTCCATTTCTTGCTGTTTTCAGCTGTGGGAAGAGAGACACCTAAAAGATAGAGAATTACACTATTGATTCTGCACCTGGCTATAAGATGGTGGTTAAAATGCAATAAGAGCCAGCAAACCCCTGCAGCCTGTTGGCCCAGGCAAGATCTCCTCCTGCTCAGCAGAGAGACGCTGCTGGATTCAACGGAGTTAGGGCAGTTGGGGAATTCACCCCGGGTGGTGGATCTAGTGCCTGGTCTTAAGCCGAATTGAATTCATCCTGCAAGGAAGCAAGGGCCAGTTCAGGACATTTAGCTCAGTTAATGATGAGTAGCAAACGGACAATAAGATATTCTGTGTTTTAATGGCTAATTTGTTCAACAACATTGAATTCCTCAACTTGATTTTGGCCAACAAAGTTGAATGTACAAACTTCCTCCCTGGCACAAACCCTTTGATGTCAGTAGAGTTGCAGCAGGCATGAGCTGGATACAATATCCATAATCCGTTGCTAAAAACCAAGTGTTATTGTTCTGCACAAATCTCAGCCAGATGACAGTTATTGTCTGCCTCAGCAAAGAGTAGCTTGAGATGCACAGAGCAACATTTCAAGAAAGAACTGTAAGATTTAATAATGCCCGAAGCTAAGTGTCCCCACTCCTCAGCTAATCCTCCTTATTCCTAAGGGATCCTGTTACACGCTCACTGAGAGGAGGTTGCAAAATGGCCCTCAAACGTGGGATGGCTCCAACTTCTTTCCGGACTGCACATTAAGACAAGCAAGGGAGAGCCGGAGGACTGACGCTTGTGTAGTACGGGTACACGCCGGGTCCAGACACAACCCGGGCACCCTCCTCCCGGGCACACGCTCCCGGCTCCGCTCAACGCAGTTCATCATCGCGCGTCCAGACCGGCGCTTAACCCGCTTACAGCAACTGCCAGAAGATGAGGGTCTGAACCTCTAAACAGATAAATGGCAATGCAGCTTTTGTTTCCTGACTGAAGTTTAACATTCAATTTGTTTGCTACAAATAATCACACAGTAAATTCAAATCTGCTTTCATTAGAGCAATTTTACGTTAATTAAATCATTTCACATGACTGATTTATCTGCAACAAACAGTCATTTTACTGTCAGCGTACCAGTATTTATCATAACCTCTGTGCCTCGTGAAACAAAGGCTAATATCGTGGAACAGATACTGCAAGGGTAAAAGAGATAATAAACCTGCATCCTCATGGGAACAAGCGCATTAGGGAGCTATGCAGATTAGAGCCGAGGTCAATAATTGGGACTTGGCCAGATTTTTGCTGAAATGCCATCCAAAGGCAGCTGCTGCTCTCGGAGGGCTCTTCTGAAGTGCAGAGAACCAGGGAAGACAAGTCAGTCATCTTATTGCCCTTCACCTCCTCCTCTCAGAGAGGGAGTTAGACAGAAAATGGCACAGACCTGGCGTTTGCTCTGCTTTCTGTGTCCCCCACAAAACCACAACAGGCAATGTTTAACAGCAGCATCCTTACCTGCAAAAAAGCTTGGTCCGCACTTCCAGAGCTGAGTGTTTCCCAGGGCAGAAGACTCCACCTGGATGGTACGAAGAAACATTTTATGAAGATGTGGTTCAAAACAGCAACCATCATGTTGAATTTCTGGAATAGTTTAGATTGAGTTTCAAAGTATTCAGTGATTCAAAGTTAAATCCAAGCCAACATCTCTCTTTCTCCCATCCCATCCCAATACTTTTCAAGCTGTATACATCAGTATACATCAAGCAAATACATCAGTATTTCTTTTTCTTATTAAGCACAGGGTACTGTTGGTTTAGAAATTTTCAGACAAAGGAAGTGTTTCTGGTTCCAAGAAAACCTTTCTGAGCACCTTGGTCCCTAGTTTGTGTTATTTGGGATGCACATCAGGGTGAGTGTCTGGATTTTCCCAACCCCTGCCACTGTCTTGCAGTTAGGCCCAAGCATGGACTTTCAAAAAGCGTTTGGGACTTAACCCTGTCTCCAGTATTTCTGACGGAGGAGTTGTGTTCCCGGCTCCTTTGTTTTTCCCTGCCCATGCGAAACCTGGGTTATTTTGTCTACAGTGCCTGTCTGGGCAGGATAACACAGGATACCCCCATCCCACAAGGTCGCTGCAGTAGTGCAGTGGCAGTGCTAGGTGTTGAACTAAGGCCTCGGGAATACAATAGAAATATGATAAAAGTAGAAATCCATTGATCCCTGAATTTTGCAAAACTGATGTTACATTAAAACAAACAAACAAAACCCCCACTCTTCCTTCTACCAAAGTTTCGATGCCCAAACTCTGTCTGCTGTCACCAGAGCTGGTTTTGCTGCTTCCTCGGGAACTATATTTGTCCCTCTATTTCTACTGAAGACACGCGTGTGTCTGGGGCTGACCTCAGGTTTCTGGTGCCGGGATAGCGAGGGGCGGCTGGGCCGCATGGACCGCGGGCTTCAGCGCTTCCCGGCCCTGCTGCCCGGAGCAGCGTTTACGGCACGTGTCCGCTCGTGTGGCTGTGTGATCATCATGAGCCAGAACGGGAACGGCTGCTAAATAAATCCCCTGCCACAAACAAAACGGGATTTGAGATGAAAAGCTGTGCACAAAGCATCCAGAATTAACACCCGCGGAGACGGGGCAATCAGTCAGAGGGTTTTGGCTGGATTTAGCATCATCATTCAGCAAGGATATTTTTGTCTTGATCCCTGGTAATACAGAAATTAAGATGTTGCGAGCACAAACAAAACAAGGAGCTCATACTGAAATCTACCAAGATACCTGGCCATTCTTTCTACCCTTTCTTACATTTTGCAGAAAAGCAGTAACTGAGATCTTTTACTCCATCTCAAATAGAAAAACAAAAAGAAAGAAAAAAAAAGAAAAACAAAAAGCACAACCTTGAAAGAGCTGCTTTCATCTTTTTCTAGATGTGAATCGTACTGTTAAATTGCTAAAATTTCAAACTTGTGCCTTGCAGTGAAAAAGAAGTTTTGTGAAAAATTCATACTAAAAATACATCATCTTTTCATCTGCCTTAATAGCATACAGAACTGTTCACGAGGTGGTCAAAAGTTCAAATCTGATTCTAATCACTTTAATAATGCCCAATTGCTGAGCCATGGTCTCCCTGAAGAGACCAGATCTGACGGCAGCAAAGGACAAGAGAAGTTAAAAATTTTCAGGCATGGCTGTAATTAAGTACAATGCCAGGACATACTTTTATTAAAAATTTCTCATCAAAACATACCATTTTTTGTGAAAGCTGAGGCATTTGTTCAGAGGATGTAGGTTTTTGAGTTCCAGAATTCACTCTTTGGTCACGTCCAGTGGGAAACTTACAATTTTTCCATCTGAAAGCAATCCTTTTGACGAGATTTCCTTTAATTTCACCTAAGACCATTCAAAAAAAGATATTTATCTCCTTCTAGTATAAGTCAAACTAGAGAAATCTGGAAAGTTGTCATGATACAGAAATGCTTTTTTCCAGCTGCCTCTGTTGGCGACTTCAGCAGGGAACGGAAGGTAGAGCAGATGGAAGGAGACAGGAGGAGAGCTGCGCTCGTGTGTTGCAAGCTGGTCTCCACGCTGGCTTAGGGCACGCAGAAGAACTCACAATATTGCTCCTAGTGAGCATCACAACTCGCACTGAGACCTCTGGGCAACACAAGAAAATTAATAAATCATTTTCCAAGTGGTCATCTACTGCAGAAAGGAAGATGACAACTTGCCAAGGCTGCCTTGTGCAGAAGGACCTTTCTGGGTGCAAGCACCAATGCAGCGGCACTAACCTGAGCTTGGGCCCTGCAAGCAGGCTTAAGGCTAGGCCCCCTCCAAATCACAGACCCTGGGACAGAATTGGAGCTTTCTGTCCCCAAGCAGCACTGCACCCGGTGTGCTCCATGGCCAGAGAGCCTTTGCTGGGACACCCCCATGTCAGCACTAGTTACCATGTCAAGTCAGAGCGGGGGCTCCACAAGCGCCATCCGAGCCAAACTGCATCACCCTCTCTCCTTTTTGCAGGCAAAGTCCTAGTTCACTGTGCAATGGGGATCAGTCGATCGGCAACGCTTGTCCTGGCTTTCTTGATGATCTGCGAAGAGATGTCCCTGGCCGATGCCATCCGGACTGTGCGCACACACAGAGGCGTCTGCCCCAACTCCGGCTTCCTCAGGCAGCTCTGGGAGCTGGACCTCCAGCTGGGGAGGGAGAGACGTGGCAGAGTGAGGACCTTCTAGCTGGACCGGGGTCTGTCCCCTGCCACCGGACTGGGGGAGCACAAGCCTGGGTCTGGACTGTTTTGTGGTTGCACTGAAAAACTCCTCTGGCACTGGCTGAGCGTGAGCAAGCTGTGTAGAAGCCTGGTATGTATTTTTTGGACAAGCCCATTAATTGAAGGAAAATCAAATAAAGAAGAATTCAAAGTGGCCATTTTGCCCATCTGGGCCTGGTTCTTTAACTACCTGCTGCTCACGGCATAGGGAACAGTTTGGTTCTTGGGCAGGATTAAAAAGCGTCTTAGTCAACCTGAGGAAAGACTTTTTATTTACTTATAATTGCATTTATATGTCAAGAGGGAAAACAGTTAAACTAGTAAAAAGAAAAATGGGAGGTTTTAAAAGAAACCTTAACATTTCCATGCAGCTGGCACAGGGTGAGACTTCAGGTTTTGTAAGCAGATGTTCTCCTTTGGCCAGAAGCGGTGACACCGGTGCAGGATCCAGCTCGGACCTTGGGCTCTCTCCAGGGCAAGCCTTGGAGCCTGCTGCTATGAGGGACCCATGCAGGTCTTTGTGGCTTCACAACCACAGCAAACACTCAGCCTTAAAAACAGCATGAAATGGTAGCCTCACAGTGCTGATCAGAGGACACCAAGCTGTCCCCAGCGCTTGGGCAAGCCAAGGGCGGACCCAGAGCAAAGGGCACCGTGTGGTACTCGCGGTGCCAGACAGGAACGTTCTGCTCCGGGCTTGCACATTCCCTAAATTTCCCCACTATAAAGGAAAGCCAGAATCCAGTGTCATCGTGTCATAGCAAAAAATGAGCCATGCCTTTAACAAATCCAAAGCAGCAGCTCTGCATTTCGATTACTCTTTTACGCCCAATTGGCCACATTTAATCTTGTGAAGAACTCAAAGCAGATATTTGCTTCAGTGCAATTACAGCCACATACAGAACATTGGCAAATGCAAACAATATAGAATTTCCACTTGACGGCAGATTAATTTGGTGTGATGTTTTCCCTTGAGAGGTCTTAAAGGCTTGCAGTTTTGAAAGTACCATACAGTTTGTATTTATAGCACTGTGGATGTTGAACAGAAAGAGAAATATATACTCATTCTCAAGTTTTTTTTGCCTCAATACATTAAAAAAATTAACTGAGCGCAGCGCACTTTCACTGCATTTCTCATAATGCAATATGGAAACATGATTTCCCTGTAGAGCCTACAGAGAAACTCAGGTGGTATTTCCAGTTTCATAAGAATAACAACTGAGAAGCAAGCAAAGCTACAGAGTAATTTCCTCTGAGGGAACAGGGATGGGTCTTCCTTCCAGAAAGGAACCCGTCCTTTGGGACTGGGTAAGTGGCCAGAAGGGAGGTGACAGTTAATGATGGAGGGAGGAAAAAAAAAAAAAGAAAGAAAATCAGTGAAGTTATAGCTTTCACAGGCTCACAGGCACCTTACAGGCTGCCACAGCAAGGAGATTAGATTTCCCTGATCATGGCAGCTGAACCACTCCTGGCACTCAGGTGTCCTTTAGATGGGCCTGTGTGGGAACTTTTATTATTGCAGGCCATGCTGAAGCTGTTCTGAGAGCTGCCTTTTCAGCTGCCTTATTAACCGCTCCCTTGAACTCCCTGTAACTCAGTACATGCCAAGCCAAATGGCACTGTATTAAAGCACAAGGGGCATATGAAACACCCTGGTCCAAAATCTCAGCACGTCAGGTCATAATTCCCGGCAAGTTCCACACCTGGGAACATCCACAACTGCAGGGTGGAATTTAAAACGAACAAGTTCTCCAAGTGACTGGAGCTACACTGGCCCCAGCACAGGCCTATTAACCATTGCAGGGCCAGTTTCCCGTGCGTCACCTCTTTACAGCTTCTCCACTCTGACCCCTGTTTTACACATCCTGATGGCTTAGTGCTCCTGTGCTTAGGTAAACAGGAGTCTCTCAAAACTATGCCTGGAACCAAAGACAAAGAAAATAAAAGCAGCGGTGGGGGTGATTCCAGGTACGGCTTGCTGCAGTTTCCACATGGAGAGCTGCCGGCTCTCTGCAAGCTCCCGCCCAGCCTGCAGAGCAGGGGAGAGCTGCCTGCTGCTGGCAGCCACGGGCAGCCGGAGCCGTGGGGTTTGCTCGGTGCGAGTCGGGGAGCGCAGTCCCACCTGGCAGCACACGCTCCCTCAGCAGCGCCTGCCAGCCGGCTCGGGGCAGCTGCCTCAGCCCATTGCTCTTTGCACAGGTAGCTTTGAGGTTGCTGTAGCAGAGACAAACCTCCCATGGGACCTTCCTGAGCCATAGTTTTTGCATTCTTTCTCTTACAAAAAGCATCTGACTTGGGACCAGAATAGATGACAAAGCTCAAAAGCTAACTATGACCGAGACAAAGGTGTCAGCCTCTGGGACACGAAGGGTCGAGTACGAAGCCATGGGACCATCCAAAACCAACCACATTGCAGGGTCTCTCTTTTGTTCACGGCCCTCTGTTCACGGGTGGAAACACTCTGGATGCGGTGGCCAACGCAGCACACATGCAGTGGCCCATGGGCAAGCATGAGCCAGGTTTGGTCTCATAAGCAAGTCTCCTGTTTCTGCATCACACTGTATTGCACTAGTTGAACCCGTGGTTCCCACCTCTGCTCAGACTTTGGCACCGCCTGCCAGGATGAGGAGACTGCTCTTCCATCCAGCACCAACGTCTAGCTCAGGTCTGCCCAGCTCCTTCCTGTCCTCCAGACTTTCTAAGGACTAGCAGGTCCACTTGCTAGCTGTTATTTCTCCTCTTGTTGATTGTTGCATCTCCAAGAACAAGGCTGGGCCATGCATTTCTGTGGAGAGAATGGCTTTATGCTTTACAAATTTGCTTGATACTTTTTGATTAGAAGAGTATATACAGCTTTACAAGCTAAGTCAAGCAGAAATCTGTAGCCTGCAAGGCTTTCAACATTTAAGTTTTCTTTAGGCTACAACTATCCTGCTTAGAAACCAGACCCCCATCTGTTGCAGAAGGATGCAGTCCTAATGAAGTCAGACAATTTGCTCTTTGCACTGCACTATTTGTGGTACAAGAATCATTGAATAATATTGCTCCCCCTCAGCGCTGTCCCCTGGAACCTTGCCTGTCCATACACAGGGAACACTTTTAGGAAGTGCTCCTAAAAATACCCAGTGATGTTAGCTGAGGATCTGGCTCCATCTCTCCTCCTCCTGCTTCTGACTCAGTCTCCCAGCATCTTCATATGCTCAAGTCATCTAGCCCTTGCTGTTCAAGCCACCTCGTTCTGTCTCATGCTCTAAAAACATTCTTTTCTTTTTCCTTGCTTCTTTATCAGTAGCCATTAGCCACAAAGCAGCTTCCATGGTGCTGCCATGTGATGTCCCATTTAATGCTTTCCTTTTGCTTTCTCATTTGACTACAAAGGTTACAGTGACTGTCTTTTACCAAGTCCTTGAGCTCTTCCCCTTTTTTCAGACAAGAGGATACCAAGTCAGCAAGAAAACAGCACCAGAAAAAGAGTAAAATCTGATTAATATTCTTTAAAACTAACTTGGCATATGAAGACTGCAAATTAAGATACTCTATCCCCCTCAATCTAAATTTCAAAACCACTCTCAGGGAAGTTACCCAGAAGAGAAAAATTTCTCAAGGGAAACGTCATTACAAGTAAAAATATTTTCATAGCACAATAAAAAAAAATCTGCAGAGCAAAAATCAATCCAGTTGACAAAAATATCAGTTATTAAACTCCAGGCAAAATTAAAAATAGGTCTGAGATTCAATTCACATTTCCAAAGAACTGATCGGTCCACTTCCCTTAAGAGGTGACAGAGGCTCCTCTGATACAAAAGACCAGTTGTCAGTGGATAGAGCCTTCCATGCGCTGCAATGCGATGCTGTTCGTTGCCAGTCACCCTCAGGAGCACAAAGATCACCCAGTGCATCCCAGCAGGCAGCCAGCACTGACGGAGATCAGCTGGCACAGAGGAGCACTGATCCCTTGAGTTGTCCACATGTCTCAGTGGACAGCTACAGTGTCTCTTTTGGAAGTACTCAAAGAGAGCCTGAACATGAAAGTCAATCTTTGCCTTTGCTGCTTAACAGGACACAAGACCCGCCCTCGTGATCTTTCTCCCTATAAAACCCTTCTGAACAGTAGTGGATGGCCCATGTATCCTCTTGTATGTAAACAACTCATCTGACATGTATAGGATTAAATATCATTAATGAGCTAGTGGCAAAAAACTTACAACCGAAAAGATTGTCCAAATCCTCTGAGATTGCTTTTGGAAGATAAACGATTTTTACAAAACCACAAAAAATTGAAGGGCATACAATGGCAAAAGTGAGAATTATTGATATTTCAAAAACAACCAAAAAAAACCTGCCACAACAGATTATGATGGGGAAAAGAAAAGAAAACCAACACAAATCTCCCCATCATTGGAAAAATGTCAACCAGCAACCAGCTAGCTAGGAATTATTTGCTCAGCTCTGGTGACAATTGGCTGTTACTAGAATTATTCTGACACATTGTTTCAGAAAACATCTGTTTCCACTCTGACTCCTTTAACTTTCAGATGTGGAAAACAAAAGCTCATTTTCATGCCATGTCTCCCATCTCCAGTTGGCAACAGTTGCATGATGATGAAGTTATTGTTACGCTAGATGTTGTTTGTCAGTTTATATTTTCCTATCATATCTATTTTTAACCACTCATTAGTATTACTTGGAGCCTCTCCTATAAATCTTATACATTTATAGCACATCTCGACAATTCATCAAACGGAGCCAACCTCCAAGGAAAGGAAACCCAAACCACTTCCCCCTGTTCAACTGAATGAGAATCCGATCCTTGTCTTTTAAACTTCAAACTCAACATTTTCCCATCTGCTCTTTATACACAACAGCCCTTTTGCTCTACCAATATTTTATTCTCCATTCATAACTTTTTATTTCCCTCCAGAGGTTTCCTGATGCATTTAGTCTGCTGGACTTGTAGAAGACTTG